AAAGGGCAGAGAGCCTAAATCGGGAGCCCCACCCGAGGCAGAGTGAGGCGGGCAGGCTGGGGGTGGCGGGACAGCAAGGGGGCACCTGCACAGAAGCAGCCCTGGGAGTCGAGGCCTTTCTCCGTGGGGATGGCCACGAGGTACCGCAGCAGGAAGCCGTTCTCCCGCGTGGCGAACTTCAGCACCTCCTGACAGTTTTCGTCCAGACTCCCGCCCAGTGTCACCGCCTCCTCGGCCGTCTCCAAGTAGGACGCCAGGACCTTGCGCACCAGCTCCCTCCACAGGGCGGCCTCCTCAGCATTCCCGGCCTGCAGCTTCAGGACGGCCTTGGCCGTGATGATTTTGAAGAAGGATGGGCCCCCGAGGCTCGTGTCTGGCAGGATGTCTCGGATGGTCTCAACTCCGTGGCTGTCACTTAACATTTTCTCGTTGTTTCTCACTCGGAAGCATTTCAGAGACTCCAAGGATAGGGAAAAAATATAGGGCATCCAGGTCCTGTCCGTGTACAGGTACAGAAGGGATTCTTTAATAGCGTCTGGCTCGGGAACTTGGGCAGAGGACCAACAGAACTGCGTGCCCTGGAGAGTCTCGGGCTCAGTGGGTGGGTCCGGGTGGGAGGGGAGGCCACACTGGGGGGCGTCTGGGGGGTCCTCGGGCTGCTCCGGGTACTGGATGTTCACCCACTCATCCTCCTGCTGGGGCCGGCACTTCTGTAGGGCCTCCCGCACCCGGTCCAGCCAGTCCTCGGCTTCGTCCTGGGAGGAGGCCCGCAGGGCCAGCTTCCTGCCAGAGAAGACCAGCTCGAAGCGGCCGTCGCCGTGGGCTGGCCCCACGGCCTCGCAGCGCAGCAGGGAGCAGTTCTCCACGCAGGTGCGTTCCTCGGTGTTCAGGTAGAGGCGGAACTCCAGAGGGGAGAGCTCGCAGAAGAGTTCCTTCCAGATGCCCATCGCCCCCCGCCGCTCCACGGTGCCCAGCTTCATGAGACCCCGGAATGGGTTGGACAGCCCTGGGGGCAGAAAGAGGCACTTTAGACGGCGGGCCAAGCCTCTACCTCCCGAGGCCCTGCAGCGGGTGGGGACAGGGGCCGCCGCGAGAATGCTTTAGGAGTGCCTTCGTCCCATCCGCACCCTCAGCTGTTGACCTTGTTCCTGAATTTTACTGAGAAAAAAAAAAAAAAAAAAGGACTAAAAAAATTACCTCCACAGAGCCCTCACTATGGCATCTGTACCCACACTCAGACTTCCCCCTTGTCACCGGGGATGAACTTCCGGCTCAGTCTGAGGCCAACTCCTCCGTCTGCACAGGGGACCCCTCCCCACCGCCCACTCAAGGACAGGGACGTCTCTCCAATAGCCCCCCCCCCCCACCGTGTCACTGCTTTCTCCCTTCCCTCCTGGCTCGTTCCCATCAGCACACAAACACGCTGTTATTTCTGCCATCTTTAAAAATAGCTTTCTTGATGGCACTCACATCTCTAATTACCACCCTGTTCCTGTGCCCTTTACAGAAAACCTCGAGGAGGTGTCACAACTGTCTCTGGTTCCCCTGCTCCCGTTCCATCTTGAATCTGCTCCAGTCAGGTTTTTGTCCCCTTCTTCCACTGAAACGGCACTTGGGAAGCCCCATGCCCTCCTTGTCACCAAATCCCAAGGCTAATCCTTGGTGCCAATCTGGCCTGACCCATCAGTATCTCAGGACACAGCTGAGACCCTCCTGCCCTCATGAGACACTTCCCTCACACGGCTGCTGAGAGGCCACTCTGGGTACTCCTCCGCCACGACGGGCCACTCTTCTGTCCCCCGGCCTCACTCCTCCGCCTCTCCCTGACATGTCAACATTGGAGCACCCCAGAGCTCAGTCCTGGGTCCCCTTCTCCATTGACACCCGCCTCCTACCTGATCGTGCCTACGCTCAGGGCTTTAGGCCAACAGCTCCCCAGCGTTTATGTCCAGCCTGAACCTCGCCCTTGAACTTCAGGTTCAGATCTCCACCTGTGCCATGTATGGCTGATATCTAATAGGCATCTCAAAATTGACATGCCCGAAAATCAATTCCTGCCCCTCCCACTGCAAACCAGCTTTTCTCCCAACATCCCTCATCTCATAAATGGCAAACTGCATCCTTCGAGCTGCTTGGGCTAAAAACCTTTCCTTTCTGTCACACACATACACACGCAGCCCATCAGCGAATCCCGCTGGCACATCCGGAACCCTCTGCTTCTCACCACCTCGACCGCTACCACACGGGCTCCGA